GGCGTTTACGTTGGGAGGACACGACAGAAGCTAGCATGGCTGTGGACTATAGACTGGTCTATTCCAAAATGTTTGCTAATTAAAGGCTAACACACAAAATAAGCTCTTAACATGGAGTGTAGTGTAGAGAATGTGTTTGACAGTGTTCTGATCCCGGAAACAAATTCAATAAATCTTCATTAAGTATTTTTTCGATGTACCTCTCTGGTCCTAGCCTTTTAGCCCGGTTGCTACATCCTATTTCCATTTGCAGTGAGTATGACTGTGCTGACCCCACATGTCGTTCTGGAAATCGTGATACTAGTCCCACAGCCTGAACCTGGCTGTTCCACACCAGACAGATTTTCTAAATGTCAGTTACAAATCTGCTCTCTGAAATGACACTAACCTCAGCTGTCACATAAAAAAAAAATGAACACATTTAACTGTAGTCCACCTCTGTATGTTGTCTTCTTCTGAATCGGAAAAACAAGACCAGGCCATCTCATGCGCTTCCCGAGTTCGCTTGATCCATGACCCCGTTAGTGTAAATAAAGAGCGTTCTGTCCCTTTTCAATTGGAGGACAAAACTGTTGCTCAAGGAGCAATTTAATAGATCCTATGTAGAACAAGGAGAAAGGGCTTGTTACTTCTTTGGAAAAATAAAGAGGATAAAACAGAGATATGAGTCATGTCTTAGCCCTAAATCCACACATTGAATTGCTTGTATGCTCCTTTGGATGCACACATGGCAGTAAAGCTACTGATGCAGCCGGGCGACTGGTTTACTTTAATAGATTTTGAAGGATGCCTATTTTTCATGTACCTTTTCAGTTTTGCTGCTAGTTGATGCAGTGATGCGTTTTCCCCAGCGCCTCCTGCAATTTCCTGAGCGGCAGATTGCAGCTGGTGAAATTTTAATTCAATGGAAGAAAAAAAAAAAGAAAAAAAAAAAAAAAAGAAAAAAAAGTCTTTGAATCGAGGCCTCAGAGACGCTATGCTTTTTCCAAAAGGCCTTCACATAACCCGCATGGAAACACTGGCTCAACAACTAGAAGAAGACCATCACTTGACATCATGATTTTTTTGGCTTAATTAATGTCGGACAGAAGTGGCTAATTGCCCCCTGTGGTCTTCCCTCCTTTGCACACTGACATTAAAGCTTCCTTTCCTCATCGATGGCTCGTTGGAGAAAATCGACAAGAGCATCCACTTAAACTTTTTGCAGCACCCTTTCGCCTCATCATGCTGAATTAAGGGCAACTTTTGGGTTTGCCTTGTCTCAGGCAAGTGTTGCAGGGCTCCAGCATGGATACGTCTGTGGGCTTTCAGCCTTCACCTGGCCAGATGTTTACAAACCCAGTTGTTTTATGCTGGAATTTATTATTTCTGCATTAGTTCAAATATTTGTTCTGTTTGTTTGCAATTTACTGTGTTACAATTTATTTCTCTGAGTGGTGCTTAAGAGAATCATTTTGCTGTTTAGGTTGACACATTAATTGACATATACAACAACAAACAAACATGTCTGCAATATCCAGGACACATCAGCTTGCCTGACCTGAAAGTTGAGTCATTGCATTTGAAACTAATGATCGTTATTTCTCAACTCTGAGCTGCTGCGTGGATGACGTAGGACCCTGGATGAAAAACAACCTTATTTAAACCTGAACAGGAATCCGTAAGATGGAGGAAGGAAGTGCAAGGGAGGGGAGGGGAGGGAGGGGGGGGGGGGTCAAGCCACACAGAGTGGTATTGTTTTTGGCGTTAGCATTACTGGTTTTGTTTGTATAATGCTACTGTTGTGTAAAATCTGATCCTCTTAATATCAGCCAGAGCTCCCTCATCACAGGACCAGTTATTTTGTGGATTTTGCAGCTGCCAGAGGGTCGCGTAGATTTGCGAATACACACAGACACACACACACACACACAGACACAACACACACACACACACACACCACACACACGCACACGCAACACGCACACGAACACACACACCGTGTGCACATAAAATCAAAATACACAACATCCATGCGAAGGATGTTTGTTTGTTAGAAGAGTTCAGTGAGGAGGGAAGAGGATGGAAGTTAAACATTTAAGTGTGTGTGTGTGTGTGTGTGTGTGTGTGTTGTGTGTGTGTTGTGGTGGGTGGATGGGGGGGGGGACGGGGGGGGGGACAAGTGGTGGAGATTTTGTCGAGTAGTAAGGTGCTATGGGAGAGGCAGACAAGCAGAAAGCCTTCATGTACCCAGGGACCAAGCCTGGAAGAAGTGGTAGATGCTCTTTGCACACACGGTTCTGTGACTCACCTTTCCTTTAGCCAATCACGTCTCTCTACAGAACCAAAAAAAAAAACTAAATTCCCACCAGATTAAAGCCACTGTCTCCTAGAATTTCCTCATATCAGCACCCGGCATTCCAGAGGTTGGGTAAACTTGATTGGGTTTAAGGGAGTTGAAGAGGCAGTTTTGCCGTAGCATTAAACAGCATTAGAGAGCATTGGGAACATATTATTATTGAAAACTGAAGGCTGCGGAATAGGGTGTTATATAAACAGTAAAATAGGTTATGGGGGCAAGGGTTAGTTTGCCTTGGTGTGCAAAAACCAAATTCAAGCCCAAAGGCAAACAGAGTGATGGAGTAAGGAGAACGAAAGGAGGTTAGGGAAACAAGGATGCTACATCAAAAAAGAGGCATCATAAGACCTTGCACTTTCCTCTGGAAGAAGAAAAACTGGAAGATGGTCATGCTTAAATTCCTCAGCATCGTTCTTCTTCTGTTGACAATTGACCATTATTCTAACAGGCTCTCCAGCGTTGTGTTCGTCCACAGGGTAGAGCGCTCTCAGCTAAATGTCACCCTGGATCTGTAGCGATGAAAGGCGTGCTTTATTGTTCACCAGGGAGCAGTTCGAGTCACATACGAACATGTTCCTGGTACAGGTCTCGCTCTCTCTTCCTCTCTAGTAAATCAGCAAACACGCTGTAGTCGCTCCAGAAATCATGGGACAGAGACAGTAGTGTAGTTATGCACAAATATAGTTCATCTGTGAGCTCTATCAGTGCGTCGTCTGTGACTCTGGCACACAGCTTTACAGCTATACATTCATACACATATTAATAAACATTAACATTAAAAAAATGATTTTCTTATGACGGCGAGAAGCCTTTTTTTTGTTGTCGTCCGTATGTCCCATCCCCGTGAACATGATGTCTCAGAAACGTATAGAGGGAATTTTCCTCAAATTTGTTACACTTGTGGTCAAAGGTCAAAAGTCAAGATCTGGGTGACCTAACAAAACATGTGTTTGGATATAACTCAAGAATTAACTGTGACATCAACATATTATGTAAAAACCTTATTGTGCCATTATTCAGTGCTGTAACTCAGGAACAGAGGGATAGATTGTGACCGTGTGTCACTGCAACTTGAGTGGCTGGAGGAGACCTAGTGCTACAACTGCGAGGTGGTAATTCTAGTTGACGGGGTTATAATCAATATTTTTCTACAACCAATCGAAAACCGGTTATCACCCAGTCCTGCAGATCCTCTCAGCTCTGCAGCAAGCGTTTTGCAGTTTTTAAGATCACTGTTTTGTTTTTTCTGACCTACATCTTTGCTGTTGCGCTTCACTGTCGCTGCTGTCTGTCATTTTTATCCGCAGCAGGAACTGTTTTAAGTGAAATAGCTCCACCCGCCCAACGCCAAATTGCATAGTTCCATCAGGATTTACCTCAAATGAGGTTGTTCTGTATCTGCTGGATGTGTACAAAAGAAATTCAATTCTAGTTGTCAACCTGGGTTGTATTGTCATATTTGTGGCTATTCTGACTTTTTGAAGGGGGAAATATATATATATATACAGTATACCATGGCAAGCCTAAGGTCTTCCTAATGAGCTAAAATTGTACATATATCTTCCGTGAAGTTTGTCTCTGAGTCTGACCGAAAGTGAACACAGAAATTAGCCTCATTAATTAGCTACTTTTGCCAACTGCATATGGATTCTATTTGTGCTAGCTCTTTGGTTAGCCAACTAGCAGACTACTGATACACCAATTTATCTGCCATCTACTATGACTGATAGTCCCTTTAAGTCTTCATGTTTCTGTTAATACATCCCTCCATTTTTTGTCTGTAATCTTACATCCTCACCTTCTGCCCTTCCTTTCTTTAGGATTACAACCCTGCATACAGTGCACCCAGTGACTGTGACCAAATCAACCTCAGAAATAACTACTTGTAATCCTTCCATTATCTATCCATTTCTCCTATGCTTCTTTAGTCTTTACAGAGCAGCATGTTCCCCACTCAAAATCCAAAGCTCCTCTTTGCACAAATAAAACACGCTCCATTTGTCTGTACCTCTCTGCAATATAATAAATATAAATTTTATCTGTTATTGTGCAAATGCAGAAGATGTGAGCAAGATTTCTGCAAGATGAAAAGGGGACAAAAAAAAAAAAGACTGTAAATAGAGAACACAAGCCAGGCAGGTTCCTGTGTGATTCAAACTCAAGGGTGAATCCTTGTGTTAACCAATTATTGCTTCATGGTGTTGTTCATGTTCACCACTTAAAGGAAAAATTAAAACAGGAAGTGAATGGAAAGAGGTATTGATATGTGAGAGAAACACTGCTCCACTGATTTCTTAAAGATAAATAAACAGAACGAACAATGGCCATTTCTATGTATGCACACACGCATAGACCTACTGACACACTCAGAGGCATCCCAGGAGCAGGGATTGGGCGAGAGAGAGAGAGAGAGAGAGAGATAGAGAGAGAGAACTTCTTTCCCACCCCTTCAAAGCCGCTGTACTACCAGTGGTCCTGTCAGAGTGGGATATGAGAGCAGGGCGGCGATGACAACTGGCCACTTGGACTCCTAGACCACCTCATATCGACTGCAACACCTCTCACGTTCACTTCTTTCTCACTCTCACACACACACACACGCACGCACACACACACAAACACACACACACAACCTCCTTCCATTAACCACCGTGGACTGGGAATGGATTCCAGGCTGCTGATTGGACCGGGGATCCCCACACTGGACCCGACCGCCCGGGCACCCTGGAACATCAGCTCCATCAGTCCGCAGCGGCTGATGGAGCTGGCGCCAGTCGCTACAACTGTAAGTGCCCTGTTCCCATGCCCTTTCCTCTTCCTCTTCTTCTTCGGTTTAATGTCTCTGCTTGAAGGAACACCCCTTGGTGTGACTGGTGAGCAGCTGTGCGCCGCAGCGATGCGTAACAGCGGCAAGATCCGACCCAGAGCACCCAGATACCAACTCGCCACATCTGACTAAACAGGCGAATAAAACATCGGGCTTCCGTTCTTATCTGCTGTTTTTCATTCCCCTCACCATCTCATTCATAAAGCCCGAGGACTACAGTATGAGCGAGGTGTGAACGAGAGAGGTGTTAACTCTGTGAATGAATGAGTCACATCATCCTCCCCTGCGCATCTGCGCTCCGCTCATTCAGCACCGGACCTGAATGAAACGCTGGTGTTTTCTTCTGCTTGTATCATTGGAAAAATTGCATGTAAAAGACAGCAGTAGTGCGCATCGTTGTTAGATGCCACCATCTGTGAGCGCGTAAAAAAATGCCAATCACGTGTTTTTGTCACATTATTTGTTAATTTGTGGTGAGTTTAAGGACTTCATCACCTAGGAATCCTGCAACATGTCAGAGGACTTCTGTGTGGTCAGTAACAACTTTTCTGACTAAGTGTTGCACCAATCCAACTCTATTTGATCACACTTTCTGCCTGTATTTGTACTCCTGGAAAGTCCAAGATCTGTGTCTCCCAGCAGAAAGAATGATTTCCTTACCAAGTCTCAGGGATGAATCAGACTCCATCTCTCTGTCTCCCTCTCTGTCTGAGTGTGGGATTAGTTTATGCATAGCCTTCAGGGAAATCCTCTTATACAGATGTGTAGCATCCAGATGCATCCACCTCTGGACATTACGTAAAAAATATAAAGTATAAAAAGAAAATACACTGCTTTAACTTTACCCCCAGGAGTCCAGACAGACAATGAGTGTGATTTGAGAGAGTTTATAACAGCTGTTTTAGAAGACCTACTGAGAAACACATGGGGTGCGCCACTATGGCAAATGTAGATCAGCAAGTGTGAATGGGTCAGTTTGGATCTTGACTTTGAAGTTCAGACCTGCAGGCTTCAGTCTCTGCAGCTTTTGTGGTCTGGGCTTCATGGTGGAAGTGCTGGGAAAGCTGATACTGAAGCGGTGCCCGAGGGCAGCTTCGACTGAGACAGATGGGATCTCCTACTCCAGAAGAAGACGTGTGCTTTTCATTTTAAAAACTCTCCAGGTTTTCTGTGTTTCTCTCTGGAGTTCGTGTTTCCTTTCACCACTGCTTGTTACTCTGTCTCTCTTAATCATCTCTCTAATCTACAATCTCTTCTCTATTATGAAAAAATATGGGTCCAATTTGTGAATCCCTGTGTGTGTGTGTGTGTGTGTGTGTGTGTGTGTGTGTGTGTGTGTGTGTGTGTGTGTGTGCGTACACACCCACACACACATTTGTGCACGGGAGTGTCTGTGACTGCTGATCTGATTGTGGTGGTTTTTATGGATTTGTCAACAAGTCCTCTGACCTAAGCGAACACATTGATGGAGCGTGTGTGTGTGTGTGTGTGTGGGTGGCCACTTTGTGATCTTGTCCTGCTCTGCGGTTGATTAGTGTGTGTTAGCAGATAAACAAAGGAGTTCACCTCTGAAGTTGCAGGTAACGATTTATTTGCCAATTTAGTGATAGGTGGATTAACAACTTGCACATGACGCGTGGCAGATTCAGTGGGCGGATAATCGGTTGTGCAGTGAGTGCAGCGTTCATCAATACTGAACTGAAGAAAAGGCTGGAATCAGTTTTTGATTGGTTGCTCACATTTGCATTCAGTTGGTGTAAGAGAGATGGACCATGATGAAACTGTCAATTGAGCACTAAAACAGTTTAATTTGCAAGCAAGCAAATCAACGAAAACAAATTGGATTAAAAACTCCACTTTGTGAGTGAATTGGTCTTCAGTCACTTTTTTTTCTACCCAATACTGCTCTTCATTTCTCAGTTGTTAACTGTAGATTGTATCCTAATGTGCAGTTTGTCAGATCAATCACCAATAAAAGTATATCCAATCATTTTCTTTCCAGTCACGACAGCTTGGCTGGTGTTTTCATCATGTGAGTCTGTGTGTGTCATCATGGCAAAATACATGGTCCTGGAGACACCTAGTGTAGTGGGAGCTTAGCCTGGCGTCATCAGACCAATTCGTATTTGCGAATGTGTCTAGAACATAGACTGTAAATAAAGGTGGACGTCATCCACAGGTTTCTGAAGAGTGGTTTTGAAGCTCAGAGTGGGCTGCTCCGCCATCCCAACTCCGGGCTAGTTCAAAAATGAGCGAAGAGGTGGTGGTGCGCGTTGAGCCGAGACTTCGGTCCATGCTGGCTTGTGGCAGGCATACGCTCACCCGCCTGTCACTCAAAGCGGCACACCCTCAATTATGCAGGACTTTTAAGCCTTAATAAAATACCCCCCGCACAGTTGTCATGAAGGGGAAAAAATTAGTTGTAGAGACCAAAACCATTTTTTGTACCAGGCTGTAAACATGTTTATTTCTGCTGTAAAGTCGGGCTTCTTAACATGGGAGTCTATTAACTCGCTTTTGGAGCCAGGCTCAAGCGGCCATTCGAAGACCTGCAGTTTTTTGGTGCTAATGTGTTGGCTTCAGCCTTGGTGGTCAGTTTCCACGGGGCGTCACTGATCAAAATGCTTCTTGATGTAATCAAATAGACCTACAACCAATCAGAGCAATGAAAAGTGTGACGTAGCACAGAGTGGAGCCAGTGGGTAAATTAAACTTCTACCAAATCCTGTTGGTAGTATGTCAAACACATCTTTTGCATCTACAAACGGTGTAGGTGCAGTTGTTTGTTTTTCTTTTAGAGAAAATATACAATGCAGTAAAATGCTTCAGCGGTGCTCCTCTGTCAATCATCGTTTCCAATCCAATTTTAGATAAAGAACTGTGATTGGCTCGACTTGTCCACGGATGGAAATCTGTGTGAAAGGGAGGGAAGCCAGGCCCTGCTGATTGCTTAGCAGGATCTACCACAGATGTGGTTTTGAGTACTTCTGTTTGTGGACTGATTTTGTCAATGTGATTGCATCACAACCATCCAATATGCAGTCATGAAACTTTACAGGTGTGTAGTTGACGTATAAATGAAGGCTAAGTTCGAAGACGGGTGTGGTCCAACCCATGAGTACTGAGTAGTCATGTAATAATGAAGTAATGACTACAGAGTTCTCATCGGGTCGCTTGGTGTGATCCCCATTGCAAGATGGTCTCTAATCCTTTCTTTTTATGTTTATTTGGCTCTTTGAATTTAATTGATTTCATTTATTAACTTTGACAACAGAACGTAATTAAACAATAACTCAATAAGAGTATATAGTCATGAATTGATGTACATTCCATGTCTGTAATGAATAGCAATCAACCATGAATGATTTATAACAGGAATACCGACCAGAGCTAACCGGTGTCCACAGCGCAGGTCTGAAATACCACCTCTCGCCCTTTTTTACATGCAAGTGAGGCTCTTCATTTACTGTTAATGCTCAGTCACTGAGTCCACAGCTCTGAGGCAATACCTGAGCAGCTATATGCTCAGATAACTGTTTCTTGTTTCTAATGAAAACACAATCCTCTACTGTAGATAAACCGTCCCACTGTTTGCGAGTATGATAATGCTGTCACCAGAGGCACTTCTTATTTAAAAGCCCCTTTGGCTTTGTTTATTAGATTAGTCTTGGCTGTTACAGACTGATGTAGCTTTCCGTGTTTTGTGTTCACACATTAATCCATCTACACTATGTGTGTGCACAAATGTTGCCTCTAAACATTAGCCTGTACAATTATAGTACAATTTGTAAGCATTCAAACACACACATGTGCAGAGCTATGCTTCTATGTGCATGCATGTGTGTTTTTTTAAAATTCAGATTTAATTCCAACAGTGGATGTTTAATTCTCCTCCTCTTCTTCTCCGCTCTGTCTCTCGCTCTCTCTTCTAGCCCTAATCTTTATCTATGCCTCTCTGTTTATTTGCCTTTGCCGGTTCTAAATCGCTGTGCATTAGACAGCCACCAGACCATTTACATTTATATTACTTACTCTCCACTGACGAAGACAAAAACCCAGAAGTGCTGGCACCTTGGCTTCAGCACGTGCTCACACGCATACAGCACAGAGATATTACCAGTCACCATTTCAGTCTTTAAATCTCACACAACAGAGGAGACTTCCATGCCACTCCCCTCACTGTCCCTCTCCTTCCACCCCGCCGTGTGATCGCCATTAATCTGGCCCCGAGACGCTCGTGCTAGGAGACAATTGAGGAAGGAATCGAGAGGATGAGGAAACATGGAGGAGGGAATTAATAGAGATCGGGATTGAGCAGTGATAGTGGAGATGAGAAATAGATTTCAGCTGGGATAGTGGCAGGGATGTGAAAAGGAGAAACGGGACTGGGGGAAGAACTGAAGCAGGGAGGGGAGGAAGACCTTGAGTGTGTCACCACCACATCAGCAGTGACGGGGTTAAACTGGATCTAAGCGGGTTTACATTCCACACACACGCCACATCTGCATACCACCTTACTGCACTTGTCCCCTCTTTCAGGAACACATCCCATGACCTTTTCACTCATTTGCTTACATAACTACTCCATCACTTTTCATTGTACTATTCAAATGTCCTCCTTTCAGTAACAGGAGCTTGTGACCCTGTGGGGAAAGTAGGACTGCTGAAACAGATGTTGGACAAACACACCAGACAGAAAAACACACACACACATGCACGCTGAAATGTGGAAGCCGGGATTAATGCAAAGGATGTGTGTGTGTGTGTGTGTGTGTGTGTGAGATCTGTTGGAACACTGGAACAGCTAAGGAAGATCCAGCTCGGTGAAAATAGTGAGTGAGTGGGTGGGCACATGCTTGAAAGACGCACAGTGAGAGACAAAAGGGAAGTGTTAATGCAGTGGAGTGTGTCAGGGTTCCTGAAATGAATTCTCAAGTGGAGCGGTGCGCTCTGAGGTGCAGCAGCTTTTCACAAACAAAATGCTGGTGTCAAGGGAAAACCTTTGCTTCTGCTTTTAGGGATTCACAACAAACAACCTTGTTTCTTTTTTTTTTATTAGTTTTTTTTTTTTAGCCTTATTACTGCACACATTGTGCATCCTTGAGATCTAACAAACACATCAAGGGCATTTCCTTCATCATAAAACATTTGCAAAGACAATTTTTGGTACATTAAAAATTGCATTGTTGACATTCATGTTTACTGGCTTTGTGAGCCCATTCCTATGTTTTTTTCCTATGTTATTTATTTTTTGCCTTTATTGTGATGGTGAGAGGAAAGTCAAAGAGAGGGGCCACAGTCAGGGCCACAGTCGGATTCGAACCCAGGCCGCTGCAGGTAGGACAAAGCCTAAATGGTATGCACTCTACCAGGTGAGCCAGCGGACCACCACCCACTCTTATGCTTTTTTTGTGCGTTACCGCCCCCAATGATTGCTGAGCAGAAGAGCATACAACCAACAACACAATATAGTGCCACTTGGATGATCACACAGGAGCTTACTACAAACAAAATGGGGACCCACTTATATAAATATTGCTCTATAGTGCTACTAGTGGACAAAAACTCCACAGCATACCTTTAAGTACAACTCTGAGGCTACGTCCACACTGCTATGTTTTACGCATCTCTTTTCCTACGTTTCCTCCTGCCATCCACAATACTCTGGAGTTTACAAGCCCTGAAAACGGAGACTTTTGGAAACGCTGCTGGCCCCCATTTTAGTGTGAAAACTACAGTGTTGTGTTGTCTGACCTTTGGAAATGATGACATCAGCACCAACGGTCGCTTTGGGTCTTATCAGCCTCGACTACCAGTGGTGAATACCACATGAATAACGAATTACCAGCGTTACTGACCTTGTTGTCTTTGCTATAGCAGCTGTTGTGCAGTTAAATTCTGCATTTTAACGCTACAACTGCCTTTGCTGTTCCTTGCTCATAGTATTTCATGCAACTAATCAACTGCAGAGTAGACCATCTGCTTCCTGTTTACACTGGCTCGCGCATGCTCAGTGTATGTGAATGGTCATGTATGTTCTGTGTGCGTTTTCAGGTGTGTTAGTCTGGATGGAGATCGTTTCTGATACAGAGCTTTTTCATTTTAAACAGTTTCAAAATGAAAATGTAGCAGTGTGGACGTAGCCTGAGGTGCTGCTACTGAAAAGTGTTTCCGTTCTGTGTGACTTTTCACCTCTACTCCACATATATTTCAGATGGAAATATTCAAATTTTTACTTATCTACATTTTTGTGATTGCTATAATGCTTTACACAAAATAGTCTCCAGTATATCAGTTTACAGTTATGATGAGTCCCTATATATGTTTTTATATCATATCCAACATGTAATTTGTTTGACTTTAGCAACGATGGACAAGCTACAATATTAAAATACTGTTTCCACAGTATTCCACAATCTGCAAGAAACAAGAGCAGTATAATCTAATGTAATACAGAGATGCTCTGTGAATGTAGCACTTTTACTGTCTGTGAGTAATGACTAGAAATACATCTTCAACATCTGCTTTATGATTCAACACTGCTTAACTTACGTATATCTTATTTCTAAATAAAAGACTTTTCAGACCCTGTCAGTTACAGATACTGTAAGCCTATATAAGCTGCGCCCGAGGCCTTGTAGAGTTTCTTTGCTGCTGACAGAGGTCGATAGACATTGATCTCGATGACCTTCAAAAAAGAAATAGTTACTGGAGCATAAAGCTTAGATGCTTTCATCTTCTTTCAGCTCTTGAAATGGGGTGAGCTGTTGCGGATAGTGATGTACCATAGGTCACTTGATGTCATCTAATGATTAAAAAACATACTAGCACTTCAAACCAATTATTACTCTATTTATTCTACTGGAAATCATATCAAATGATTATTTAGACAGATTGTATTTTTGGTGTATAGAGTTCAATCAGAATGGGCTCCAGACTAAATGGATTTCCTCCCATTTCAAGGCTTTAATCTAATACTTGCAGACACACTTAAGTGCACCCGCCAAAGAATATACACATCTTGAATTTTATTGCTTTAAATGTCAACTGCAGCCCAGTTTATGACAGAAGACATGAGGGCTGAAACACAGTATCGATCGGAAAAAACATCTTTGTCTTTTCTTTAGAGGATCATTTCACCAAGAATTAAGATTGAAAAGGAAAATGGACATTTAGGCTAAAAGGGGAACTAGCAAAGAAACTATTATTATATTTTACTAATTGAAATTGATATTGTGAAATCCCAATTTCAAAATACAAGGTGAAATTTAAAATCTTGAAACACAACTTAAATGCAAATGTGGAATTGAAATGTGGAATTGAAAAGAGAAAATTAAAGCTTCAGAAACAACTTTTTGTTTTCAGCTACTCCATTTAACTGTGGGCTCATCATCCAGAGTACTAAGATAATAATAATTTATTGGCCATTGAAATTACCCTCCATACTTTAACAGGGCCAATGACATTTTTAGCACCATTCAGGATCTGAGTGATCAAACACCTGCAGTGAAAACAACACTCTTTTTGGATTATCTTGCTTCGCATTCATGACTTGATATCATGATTCCTTGATTCATGATTAACCAGTCCTTCTTGTTTTCCTGTTGCTAGGGTTCTGTAGTTCCAAGCCACCCATTTCCAACAGTCGACGTCCCAGACCACGCTCACTACACCATTGGTGTTGTCATCCTGGCCGTGGGCATCACTGGCATGCTGGGAAACTTCCTGGTCATATATGCCTTCTGCAGGTACCATGTTTTTTGCACTTAGGCTTCAGTTTTTTTTTTTTTTTATAATTGTCCTTATTCAGCACAACTTTTTTGAATCAAACTGTGATAACAATATGTGTGATAATGAGATGTCTGATTTAATCAGTATTTCAACAGCTGTGTGTGTGTGCGTGTGCGCGTGCATGTGCGCGCGCGCGCGCAGGAGCCGGAGCTTGCGGACACCATCCAACATTTTCATCATTAACCTGGCAGTCACAGACTTCCTCATGTGTCTCACCCAGACGCCCATCTTTTTCATCACCAGCATGCACAAACGATGGATCTTTGGAAAAAAAGGTAATTGAGCACATGCACAGTGTGACATTTTAACTAACATACCACAACAATTTATACTTGTTTCATATTTTAAAAAAAATATATGCACAAAGCGTTTAATACAACGACGGACTCATGATATTTCATATGCTCTTTTACATGTGCATGCAAGCACAAACATGAACATTTATGCACACACACTTTGAATTCCACAGGGACCTATATTATTTCCTTACCCTTTTGAATGTGACCTATAGTTCAATTAAGCTTCTACACACACATGCACACACAAACCTGCTACCCTTTGTCATCCCTTTCTGCCACAGAGGAAAAAGCAGCACCCAAGGTTTACTCTGCAGTATCCAAGTTTCATTGATCACAAAGAGCATGCAGGAATACATGTTGGTACTGTGTCTTATATGTGTGTATTTGGAGGGGGTGGGTGGGTTCTACTATGGTGTGTATTATACATCAGTGTGCAACCTATTGGGAACAGACACAGAGGTGGTAAAAGAGAATCCTCACTCCATTGATCAAACACTGATAGTCGGAGCACTGTGTTTTCCTTCAGGAGTTGTCCTGACCTAAATGAAGACAGCCAATCGCTGTCAGACTCTCGATGTTGGTTACTGCAAGAGGACTCTCGTTTTTTCTTTTTTTTCCCCTAACACCTAGAAGACACCTCTTTTTTCTGTCAGCCTATCCTTCTCAAAAGACATAACAAGAAAGGTCAACAGAAAAATGAGGTAAATGGAAAATCACAAAGCAAAAAGCCAGCTGAGCCTTGTCTTTAACTTGTGTTTATACTAGAATTCATAGATGTCAAACCTCCCCATGCACTCTTTAATGATGGGATTCTTTAGCAGCAGGGAGGTCAGTGGTAAGTTGGATGATCTGTCAGTCTGTTGGTTGAACACTTAATTCTGGAGGCAACAACCATTTGGTGCAAGACATTCATGTCCCCAAAGAACGATTTCTGATGACTTTGTTGATCCTCTGCTTTTTTTTCCTCTGTAGTGCCATCAACAGGATTGTTTAAATACCCTTGTCCAACATGTATAAAAAAACAATCAGAGCATTCCTGGCTTTAACTCATTGTACCATAGCACCAAAGCAAGTTGTAGTAGTTCAGGAAGTGGGGGTCGTGGGAGAAATGAAGAAGCTCTTTGAAAAATGTAAACAAAGTCAATACCAGTTGATATCCATAACTCTGACCAGTATCTAATGAAGTCAAATGCAGTTTTAAATGACTGAAGGGTTTCCCCGAACTGATATGGATACGTCTCCAAGCGCAGGACGAGGCATCAAGAGTTGTTAAAATGCACATTAATGTGCTAACTGTGGGCATAATTAAGATGCTAACATTAACATTACCAGTTAGCTTAAACCACAACTGCACCTCTGTAAATTTGAACCTGCCAAAGTGCTTCATGTAGGCTACGTCACGATTTATTCACCAAGTCACGATTTTGTTTTTATTGATTCACCAACGTTTCCACTCCAGCCAAGTGTAAAAGGGATATTTTTAACTTTTTTTTGTCAGAGTTCTGGACTAAACCACTCAGGTTTTTAATGCACAGATAGAAAATGTGCATGAGACGAGCAAACAAAGATTTGCTCCTAACAATCGTAGAACCTTATTAAACAACCTTTCCATTTTTGAGATGTTTTACATGTACTCATTATCTGGGCTTGACCACAATGCAGTGAACTTTGCTGTTACCACGAAATGCCCCAGGACTTTAAAATATTGTTCTTATCCAGAGAACATCTGCTGTTGCTCGGGAGCCAATCTGGACTTCATTAGTTTCGGTAACTTAAAAAGGGGCTGTCAAACAAACACACAGACACACACACACACACACACACACACACACACACACACACAGACAGTCAGGACGACAGACAGACAGGCACTCATACATACATATTTAATTCCTGAGTGGTAGCTATTTGTTTGAGTTTCTTCACACAAGCGACACACTTCAGATTTTGTCTTGTTTGGATGTGATGACTTGGCGCTGTGACCACATTATGGTCGATGGCTATCGCACACTCAGCGCCTGAGGGACAACAGCTGATAAGGTGAAGATTGAGTGTGTGTATTTTATCAGTGTGTATAGTGTGTCTCTCTGTGTGTATTGGCTTACATATACCTGCAAGTGTGCATGAATGGGTGTATGGATTCTTCACATATTTTGGATACATTTACCATAATAATAGACTCTATAGAGAACAGCTCCTTAGATTATGGAACGAAGAGACATGTCAGAAATCTTTCCAACGCTGTGGCAGCCTCTGAATTAAACCATACACAGCCTGTAATAGTTTCATTACTGTATGTTCAACATGTATTAAATATTTAAACATGAATACCGTATGCTGTTTGTGGATTCCACACTTTTCCTATCCTTTCCCCTGTCAACCTACACGTTTTTCTCCAATCTGCCATCCATCAATCTTTTATGTTGCTGCAACTTCTCTTCACCTGACACCCCAAGTCATCCTTCACCTTGGGCTCCTCTCCCCCATTCTCTACCTCATTTTCCCTTCCTTTTCCATCCAATTCCCTCCTCTTAATTATTCTGTCTTTTTCCGTTCCCTCTACTTCACCCATTTCTCCTCCTTGCCTCTACTCTCCTTTTTCCTGCCTTCCATTCTCCATTTATTTTTTTAAGCTCCTGTTTTTTCCTTTTTCGTTTCCTTTTTTCCCTACTTTCTCCCTCCTGCTTAATTCAATTCAAATGGGCTTTGTTCAATCAAATACAAAATTACTGTTCCAGACCAAAACATATAATTGAGGATGATTTTGTTACCAAGCATAACATTCAAGTGACTGAAAAGAAATTAAATTTGCAGATGCCTAACAAGTCTGACAGCAACATTGGCTGTTATCCCTGGGGCCTGAATTAGCTTTGAACAATGGCTAAATATATAGTAAATTGGTTTGTAAGAAATGCGCTCAGAAAAGACGTGATATGTGAAGACAAAGTCACACCACAAAACTAAATAGTCTGAAAATTGAATCACCTTTGTTATTTTATAATAACAAAATAAAATGTCTGCCCAGAGGGTGGCGCTATAGTAAATGGTCATTTTGTGCTAATGGATTCACATCATATGGACATAGCATGTATATGCATTCTGATGATAATTTCCATGGTGGGGCTGTGGACCAAAATGTGCATGTAACTTATGCTGAAATATTTTTTTGAACCAAAGGATTAATTAGAAAGCATAAAAGTGTTGGTCCAAATGGAGATCTTTCCAACAAACCACAGAATAAACCAACCAATACCCGCCATCGAGGGTATGTTGCTGCCATGTCTAAAATGTTTGTGGTGTATTCCAGTCGCAAGCAGTTGAAGTAAGACTGTGGGTGAGAAAACTTGTCTCCAAATGGGAATCTTCTCATCTTGCTTAATCTATCTCACAATACTTTGAACTTTAGCGTTAGCCTGAGCAGAGTCAGACCGATTAAATCAACTGTAGGATGAAACAGGATGTAAATTTGTCAAGGAAACTAATGCTAATGTGATACGTAATAAGCCATTACAGTCTAGTTAAAATGACGTGTGAATCACAGGTGCAACAGATGTTTTTTAATATGATACTAGCAAAAACATACATTAAAACTGAAATGGCAGTGACATGATCACTTGACAAACCAGCACAGGAAGTGCCCATATGCATCCAAAACATAATTATAAGTTTAGATACACAAACAGCTGCAGTATTTCCATCTGTCGTTGAGCTGCAGGAACTACTGTCAGAAAATGTATTTATCCTGTGGGCTACATTCAGTAACAACAAGGGCAAACGTATTCATCCCTCCTCTCTTCTGCTTCTTTCTCCCTCTCTTCTCCACAGGTTGTGAGTTGTATGCCTTCTGCGGAGCTCTGTTTGGTATCTGCAGCATGATGACGCTGATGGTGATTGCGGTGGACCGGTACGTGGTGATCACCAGGCCTCTGGCCTCCTTGGGAGTGATGTCTCGCAGGAAAGCCCTGAGCATTGTGGCTGTTGCCTGGATCTACTCCATGGGCTGGAGCCTACCCCCCTTCTTTGGCTGGAGTGAGTACAACTACACTAATAGACCTGGAAGCAGAGTCTTTATTGATCAGTGTGATTTCTCTGTGGGATTTAGTATGTTGAGCTCTGTGGTAGTACTTCGCTCTCACAGTTTTTATTTGTGTCAGCATCTTAAATTCCTGCCACTAATATGTCAAACAGATCTTACTTATTCTTTTGTCAACATGCCAAATACATTTATTATAAAATCAGTTATCATAACTGAGATCACCTCATGATTACATATAGCTGACATTACAACAGCCCAGCAACATTTGAAGAGGTTATGGAGTCTTGTTCTCCTACAAACATTTCAAGTTTCATTCATTGTGTGTGCTCCCAAATGGGAATAAACTGAGCTGTTGAAACTCAGTAACAGCAACTTTCATTCTCAAATACGCATCAGCTTGTCTGGACGGGATTTAAATTACAGGAGAATCAATGAATCAACCAAACACTGTCAGTAATTGGGACTGGTACCGGGAGAGAAATTGCATACATATGCACTTAACTGTATTCCACATTTATGTAGGTTGTCAAGTTGCTGGTCATTGTGACCATCGAGGGAAAGTACAAAAGAGTTTCAGCAGCATAAAAAAATCATCAGTGTTGTGTCTTTGTATAATGTAACTGAGCACAGTAAAGGACTAAGTATAGAGCCCTGGGGAACTCCAATAGCAATTATGAATCAAACCAATTTAGATACCAAACCTGTCCATAAATGAGCTTTACAATCTAAGTAGACTCTATATAGTACTATATAGTATATACCAATATATGAAAAAGATAACTGACATATTTATATATACATACAGTACATACATGATTACATAAAAAGTAAGGCAACCAAATTCTACGAGTCTATTTCTTGGGCCACTTAGGTCCCATAGTAATATATTAAAGCCCAAGCTTGACAGGTCGTATTACATGTAAGAAAATACTGCATACATTTGAATAATACACTTTTAGTCAAACAAGCAACTGTGCCGTAGGGACTCCTAACACCACCATAGACTTTAATTTTTTTAGTGTCAGGCTACAGCTTCAAAAGGTGACACAAAGTTGTGTCAAATCCTGTTTCATTTTAATATCTAAATTTCTATTGTTATTTTCTTTTTTGCTTTGGTGGGTAAGGGATAAGACAAGAAGATTGAAACAACTCTCATTTGAAATTCAGCTCCACCTACAGATAATCATAAGGGGACTGCACACTTGGAGGACAGCTGTCATTTTCCATATTACAGATGAAAGCAGTTCAAGGTCTTTCAGATAGTGAAGAAGCAGGAACGCTGTACAATCCAGAAGCGGACATAAAAATAGTAATTGTCAAATTTCACAGCACTAAACTGTGTATGTGCTCCCACAGGTGCCTATGTCCCAGAGGGTCTGATGACGTCTTGCTCCTGGGACTACATGACATTCACCCCTTCCGTCCGCTCCTACACCATGCTGCTATTTACCTTCGTCTTCTTCATCCCTCTCTTCATCATCATCTTCTGCTACTGCTGCATCTTCAGAGCAATCCGACACACAACACGGTCAGTACTTGCACAGACCGCACTGTTTATGTTTAGTCAGGTTCCTATTTCCTGTGTTGCAGCACACACCCCCACGTGCATTGATGAAGACACTGGTGTCCGAGACGTTGCTGTGTGTGCATTGATGCTGATGTCTTGTTGATTAATGATGCGTCTGCACTTTCCTATTGATCGACACTGATGTCTTGCTCAACCTGAACACTAATACTGCCTGTGCAGGTGACACTGGCAATGTAGGTGATGATGAAAGTGTGTGTGTGTGTGTGTGTGTGTGTGTGTGTGTTTGTGCACAAATACAATACATGTCTAAGTCAAATAACTTAGAAGTAAAAGAAAAATACAATAAACACCCTCTTGAGAAAAAAAGATTGAAATAGCAAATTTCATTTAAAATCATTTGCAGTTTCCTATATTCCATCGTGTAGACTTGTTTCAGTTGTTTCGGTGTTTCATCTATCAGTAGAGGTATTCTTAGTAATCCTCACCCATTGGTTCTCTAAGGAAAAACAACACTGATTCCATTGGGATGGCAATTTTCATAATTTTTTTCGTCTTTCATATCTTGCCAAAAATCCCTGCAGTGCTGGACACTCGCAGAAGATATGGGAGTGGTCTCCAGGCATTTCTCCCAACGTAGCGCTGATGCTGAACCTTTATCAAACATTAAAACTGTCAGTGGAGTCCTGAAAAATCTCATTTTTTTTATCTTCCAATCAAATTCTTTCCATAGATGACGGCTAATGCCTTTGTGGCAACTCATACAGATATCCTCCCAAGTCCTGTCCTCAATATTTAAATTTAATTCTAGCTCACGTTTCTCTTTCACATGGAGGGTATTTTCTCACATATCAGCTGCTAACAATCTGCAGAAGTAGAAGATATGGTTTTTAATATAGTATTTTTCTATTACTATAATAGAATACTATTTGATACTTGTTGGATCCTTTCCTACTCTCTACGACTTTTAATATGGCGCCTTATTTGTAGGAATCAGAACAGATCACTGGGGGGTAATGTAAACTGGTTTTGGAGTTGAGTGAAAGAATTTGTTTCACTGCCATCGAACAGTTGATTTATTGGACTCAGGCCTTTTGCTGCCCTCCATCTGAAACCAAAATCCCACATTGATGGCAGGAAATCCATGTTGCCAACAATTGACACGGCTCTTGACAAAGAGTGTGTTCCCCCAGCCTCTCTCTGAAGTGCAACTAATCCATTCATTCTTTGTTGTATGTGAAGTTTATTCCAAAATGTTTTATTTAAGAAAGGTATGACTGACAGACTGATCCCCTGTGCTGAGCTCTGCTCTGCTCTGGACTCATCCTGGCTGTTATCAATGCATTCTATCACAGCACTAAGCTGAGCGGCCCAGGCCAGTAGTGACATTTCAGGTTAGGGAGACCCAAACGCTCCCTGTCCTTTGATTATTTGATTAGCACAGCGTTTTGAATCTTATTCTTTGTCTTTTGAGAAGAAGACTTTTTTTTTTTTTTTTTAACTGTGGTGAGTATGTCTGTGTTTGACAGAGCAATAACAAAGATCAACTGTGAAGGAAACAGAGACTCTGCAAAGAGGTTCCATAAGATGAGGAGCGAATGGAAGATGGCCAAGATTGCACTCATCGTCATCCTGCTGTTTGTCATCTCCTGGGCTCCTTACTCCTGTGCAGCCCTCACTGCATTCGCTGGGTAGGTGTGTATGTGTGTGTACTTTATCACAGATTGCTAAAGAGACATCCCTAACAATCAGACTTTGTGGTTATGCTATTGAAGTTGCTCTAGTCAAAGGCAATTCACCCATCACTCCATTTTAAGAAATCTGTCTATCTGTCTCTCATTTTAAAGCATTCTCCAAGAAATGGTTGGAAGTATATATGTTACACCTTCTACTGCAGCGTAAAGTCATGATTTGAAGATACTGTGTTCCTGATAGTTCAAGTGCACATGTTGTGGGATCTCTAAACTAGACTGTGGGTGTGACTGTGTGTCTCTACTAATCCCACACCAGGCAACACACCCTCCACTGCCCTTGTCACATGAATGCGTCTCATTTCCTCCTCTCATTTGTCTTCCCTCTCTCTCTCCTCTCCTCTCTCAGGTACGCTGACATGTTGACTCCCTATATGAACTCTGTTCCTGCTGTGATCGCCAAAGCATCTGCTATCCACAACCCCATCATATACGCTATTACACATCCGAAATACAGGTAGGATGCGCACTCGAGTGTTGGGTTTCATTAACTGCAGATTAAATTAATGAAATAGAAAAAATAGAATAGGTAATAGAATAGAAAAAATAGGTATGAAATATGAACCAAATGATATGAGTAATATTATATTATTATATTTTTATTGTTTTAGTTTTTGAAGAAGCTCAGTAAATTTTCATGTGTGTCATTCCTCTGGCTGTTACATTCCTCCACATATTTTGCTGCTTCTATGGCAATGTCAGTTTATTCCTTGAGTAAATACTGAATTTTATTTTGGTTTGACAGTGTGTCAACTTCTTGGTATTGTTCTTCTTCTACTTGTTTTTAGCATAACTGACACTCTGACAGGTTTGCCTGTGTCCACCTGTCACAGTTAGTGTGGTTCTCAGTTTCCTGTCCCTCAACGTGACCAGATAATCTCCCATTCAGTACTGCTTGATCAGCACTAGATTATTTTAAGTTTTTACAGTAGATGTTCAATAGCTGGTGAACTTTCTGTACTTTGGGTGGTCTAGGTTGTGTAAGGGTTGTGCTGAGGCAGTGTTCTGTTAAGATGGATTTACTCTTGACTCAAGGGATTAATATCTTGCTGTAGTTCAGCATTGGCTTTGACAGCATTGACAGGACCACTGCAGCAGTAGATGGATATAGTGCGTGATCCGGCTGCATCTTGTCTGATCCTGCACAACAACATTAATTATATTCCTCCCAGTTACTATATTGATGTTCTTTATTTCCTTCACGTTGTGATATAGAGCAACAATTGCAATCAGCAGAGATGTCTTTACTAGATGTGAGTTCCTGAATAGCAGCAGATTACTGCACATTTCTTCAACTTGCTTCAGGTTTTCTTCCCTCTCAACAGTCTCTAACAGTGCCGGGAGCTTTTAGGATATCTCTAGGCTATCCAGGCTATCTCTATCCTTCGTTCACTTACACTTTTAAAATAATTTAATATTTACCTGGTGGAGAGGAGGTTGTATGTTTGGTGACACCTGGAAGTTGCTCTTCGTCCCCCAGAATACATATTCTTCATACTTATTTGCAATCTATCTATAATTTTGTCATCATGATTTTCCATTTTCTAATTCAAAAAATAAAAAAATAAAAATATTTGGCCAGTTTTTCCTTCTATTACTCTCTTAAGGATATAGAGTATCATTCTCTATACAGATTGTGAAGCCCCTTGAGGCAAATTTGTGGTATCAGGCTATATATATATATATATATACATAATCCAACTTTAAGGGAGCACAGCCTCACAGCCTCACAGCCGACTGGCTGACAGGACTGCTCACTTTTCTGTTCTTGGCAGCACAGACTAATGTAATGTCAGAGCTGAGGTCACTGACTTCAATGTGCTTATAGACTTTGATTGCTCTGTTTTGGATCCTAATTAAAAGTGGAAATTTCAGCTCCCTATCATCTAGTAAAACTAATGATTATGGATTTGAATATTTCTCTCTCAGGTCGGCACTCAGCAGGTACGTTCCCTACCTCGGGGTGTTGCTGCGCATCACTGGCAGAGACCGTTTCAGCAGCAGCAGCTTCCAGTCTACCCGCCGATCAACTCTCACCAGCCAATCAGAGATCAAAGGCCCCAGCAAGCCCCGAAACTCCTCCCAGTCTGAGAGCGAATCAGTGAGTGTACCTCATATCTAATATGGTATGTCTCAGTCTTACACTTCCTATGGCAAATGCTTTGAATTACGAGTTGCCGGTTTTAGTCTCGTTTGTTGGTGATTGTGTCTGTGTGTTGTCTCAGGCCCGCTTCTCAGACACTGAGGAGGACTGCTCCTCTCGGACGCCTGTCACTTGTCAGTTGTCAAGTGATGTAAAACAGGTGCGCTGTGCTAGCCAGAGGTTAAAGGTGAGAGGTTACAACACAGGAGAGTTTGAGAGGACTGCCGCCCACAACCCCACCGACCCAGCCATATGCCACCTCTCACAGATCATTGTGAGTATGGACGCCTGACTTGTGTCAACATATATCTAATATACACTAGTATGTATTAAAGATATATGCAGTCAGAAAGTCATACAATTCCTAAATCTAAAGCTTTTGGTGTCAGGTGGGTGTCATCAGACTGGAGTCTCTGTTTAAATTTTCTCACGTTGGTTTCATGAAGTTTATGATGGGAGGTTTTGCTTCTGTTTTGTCATTACGTCAAGGTCAATCTATATCCTGTTCTCCTAAATACAAGAAGTGAGGTCATGTTGTTATGGGGTCTTGTTAAATTCAATAGACGTCATGTTTATGTTCGGTATTTCATGGCAGGGTAACTCTGTAAGGTCATGTTGATTGGAATCCTCTTAAAATCCAGGCTCCTCAGGGTTATGGACAAGATTCCTCAGCGTGTAGTCTGATGAGGTCATGTTGCTGAGATCCCCCGTGAATATCACTGATTGTCCTGAATGGTTTGATTTTGTGATTCCAGTGTTTCAGTATCATCTGCCATCTTCCTCTGGAGTGTGGTTCACACTCTGAACTGCCCATTTGTATCTTTGAGGACTTTTGTTTCAGTTTTTTAAAATGTATAAATACACATAAAGTAAAGTTCCAACAAGGATACAGTAGCTCCAGACAACCGTGAGTTTTACATGACTTGCTAAAAATGATATTTGTGGCCACTAGCATCCCCTAGACTGGAATAGCATCATCACCCAACTTGCTTTAACTTAAAGCCTCTGGGTAGAAGTTGTAGGTAAATGGACTACACTTATATAGCACTTTTATAGTCTAATCGACCATTCAGAGGGCTTTATCAAACTTGTCACATTCACCCATTCACTCACACATTTATACATCACACCCATACACTTATGGAACAGCCATCAGGGGCAATTTAGGGTTCAGTATCTTGCCACACTTGGACATGCAGAGTGAAGGATTAAACCACCGACCCGCTCAACCTCCTGAGCCACAGCTGCCCCTGCGCCCATAGGTGCATGCTAAAGTTAAAATAAGCCATCATAACTGCCAATGTCTCTTGGTTTGATCCGTGGGAGGGTATTAACTGCTGCAGCCATCATGCATGTTTTTGATGCTTTTACTGAGTCGTCAGTGTGGTCATTTTCCTATCCCATCCTACACATATGGAACATTATGCATAATACAGCCTGGATTTTTGGACTTTTTACCCACAGTTTCATGAAGACATGACATGTCATTGGTGATCAAAGTCTCATAATGCACCATTTTGCCTAAATATTCTGAACCACTTATTTGGAAGTGGAACTAAAGGTTCACCTTTAGTTGGTCCTTTCTCACCTCTGTACAGCTGACATAAGTAAAGTGGGTGTGCCTTCTGTGGGTGTATAGTGTTTCCAAAGCTGTTCAAAGCTTAACGATACAGGGTCCTCAGCGTTTAACCTCTGTAGGGTTGTTCACACCTTGAGAGTGCTTGAGGTCACAAGTGGGTCATCACTCCACCTGGTTGTCATGTGTCTTAAACTGCCTGTAAATGGGATATCATGCAGTGCAGAGAGGATTGCCCAGATGTGTACACTGGGGAGACAAAGTAATCGCTAACACGGGGGCCAGCTCAAGCAGGTCAAGACTAAAGCTGAATTTATAGTCAACACAAGGGGTTATTGGCAGTCAGCTGTAGATTCTGTTTAATTGTTGAACATTATGAATATCACCACTATTGTGCTTTAATTATATACCCTACAGTAACTGCGTTTACATTGCATCTTTAACTTTTAAGCTACACACATACTTATAGAACTGGAGTTCCATCAAGGCAACCTATTCTTTTGTCATATTTCCTTACTGTATGCAAAACTACCAATGTGTATTTGCTGTGTTTACATTTATTCATTCATGTGTAGTGGCTACTCTTTAGGCAGGATGATGAATCTGGCTTTAACATTCTACCTACACGTACACAAAAATGCCATATTACTCTGAGGACAAGAATGTGTGCTAGTAGACAGAGGACAAGTTGTATTAAAGAAGAATGACGGAAGCCATCTATATCAAATTGGAAAAACCATCACTCAAAAGACAAAGCGGTCTACAACACCAACTATAAGCCATTTAATGGCCCCAATGTATAGGTCCGTGCATCCTCGCTGCCTTGCATGATATCCCTTTACAGCCTGTTTAAGATCCTAACGACCCTACAGAGGTTAAATGTACCCCCCCCCCGGCCAGTCACATCTGAACAGATCTTTTGGATGACAGGTGAAACATCTTCAACAATCAAAGCAAGTCCAGTGGCCTTTTTCCACTTCAAGAGATATTAAACGGATATTTAACGGAGCATAGCATCATTTGAGGCCGAGCGCTAGGTCTCTCTTGCATCAGCTTAGAGGCATCAGCTGTTTCATTCAGCAGCTTGGATGGCTTGAACGATCACCTTTGTCTTCACTTCCTAATTAGTGGAAGTGAAGATAGAAGATAGATAGAAGGTATGTTAAACTGTGGACTGACTGTGAGCTTATTTTAATTGCTTGAAATCCAATTGTTAGTATTTTAGTATAGTTACACGTTGAGGTTTGGTAAAACCCAACACTTTTGAACCGTAAGAGGTCATCCTATATGGGGCATCCGATATATGGGGCATTTCCATCTCTCTGTAATCATCTTATTTCACTAAAAATATAACCCACAAGCAACCCTCATGTCCGCACATATGCAAACACACACATACTACAGGAGGTATTACCATGCAGGTCAGGTTCATTGAGGACTCCATTACAGAGGGTCCAAAAACTAATCCAGTAATCTCGGAGTTTCAGACTTAATCCACAACTCGTGTGCGTGACCCCATGTTTCAACATACTGTTTGTGTCCCGAGGAAGATGACTGATTCTCTAGGAGTCTCTGACCTCCATCTGCTTTCATCCCTGCGCAGAGCAGAGGATATATGTGTACTTTTATTTCTAATTGCAGTTCTCTTACAAACAAAGTCACATCGTGTAACATGTTACATTTGAACAGATTTTTGTGCTAAGAGTTTTGTACAACTAAGATACCTCTGAAGTACATTTAAAACCTGATGCTTTTAGACTTGAAGAAATAGTTTGACATTTTGGAAAATGTGCTCATTTATGTACTTTCTTCTCTTGGCTCCAGCTTCATATTTAACAGACAGATGTAAGAGCGTGATCGTTTTTTTTCATATGACCCAAAAGTAAAAATGAATGTCACTGAAACAACATGAGATACTTTCAAATGAGATGCTCCTTTACCTGAAACGTCAATGATCAAATCCCAATTTGAAGTCGCTCTGTATTTAGTAAGAGTGTGATCTCAAGGCCCAAATAGTACAAAAGATTCTTTTGAGTATAACTAACACTAAAAGGCTGTGTTTATGTGCGTACTGTTCAGACTCTGACAGAGCCTGAAGACATCTCCATGTCGGACATCAGTCTGCAGCCAACCAGTCGTCTGCCTGCTACTGTAAGAGTCCTCCGATCTTGCTCTGTGCACTAGATGTGGCATCTGTTTTTTTTGTTTTTTTTGTATGAAGAAAATCGACAAATCCCATGAAAAAAATGAAAGCAAATTTATCCTACTAACAACTACTGGCTGAGTAAAAAAAGCCTGATTTAGTTTAGTTCACAGTGAACGACTGATTATTCCTCTCAGGTCACTGTATTTATATTGCTGCCATAAATTAACATATTTTTATTCATTAGTCACATTTTTTTCGATATCGTTATTCTCTCTAGTCTCTTTATTGCAGTGCAGTCCAGTAATTTAGTGTGTTTCTATAGTGTAGTGCAGGATATAATGATTTTCAAAAGCAATACTGTAATAATGACATATTTTTCTTATGACAACATACCAAATAACACAGAACCTTTTCCTGTTACAACAGAATATCAATGTATCTTGTAACGTCACAAAATGTCCTTGTTGCACTAATTATATTTCCTTAAAACAATTTTGTTATAACATGTCAACTTTGTATGTTGTTGTTGTAACTAAACAAAAGATGTCAGTGCCAACAGAGACACTGTAACCTGGATCAATGGTATAACATGAAGGGAGATCCCGTCAGTGAAAACATACTCAGTGTTTTCTTGAGATACTGTATATTGATACCATATATTAAACCATTTCTTGTTTTCATTAGTTGAGTTTTTGTAGTTATGAGAAATAATACAGGAATATAATATAATGAATAATATTATCAGGAATTATAGAAGAGGATAAAGAAATATGTATTATAACAGTGTTGTTAAAAGGAAATAATTTGGTATGTAACAAGTAAAATATTTCATTATAACATGAAGAATAGCATAAAGGATCTCATTAAAACGACTAGATTTTCTTCCTCACAAGAAGCTCAGCTTACTTAATACTAATGTATTATCTTTAAATAAGTTTAAGAGGTTTGAATGAAGAAGCAGAAACTTAATCCCATCCCATATTTAGGCCATGTGTATTATATTATTATAATCTGCTGATGTCACAATCTAACCAATCAAACTAAAAAGCTTCACATAAGATCATCATTTCTGATACACATTATGTATTGTACAGAGCTGACAATTTTTTTCCCCCCATGATCAGAAGTCATTGTTATGGAGATGTTTCAGACTAAACTTTTGGGGAATACATGCCTCATTGCATTGTTTTTTTTTTATGCCTTTTTTTTTTTTGTGTTGGCATCCGTGCTGTGTTGTCAGACAAGCTGCATTCATATGAACAAGAGTGCTGTGTTCAATCACAGCCAAAGTCGCACATTAGTCTTCACTGAAAATACGTCATTGGGATAAATTCTTTGTTTTAATCTTGTCAAGGGATTTGTCGTTGATAATAAAGAGATAGAATTGCGCCAGCTTTATCCTTTAATTTATTATTTTCCGTTTGTCTTGCTCAGGTGTCACTTGTCTTTTAGGGCTGTTCAAAGGGGCATGTCACCCATTTTGCATTGCTCAATTATTCTACCACATTTAAATAAATGAACTCTGCAGCACAATTAACCAAGCTGTTTCAAAAGTAAGTGCAGAGTAATGTGAAATGGTTGGCATATCACTTTAGCCCCCCCCCCGCCCATTCTATTCAATCCAATCAACCATGCTTTCCGTCCCGTCCAGTTTCATTCATTTCCTGCTACTCTGACATCAGTATTAATCAAACCTTGTGGAAAATCAACAGCTTAGAAGCTTTGATCTGTCATCCTCTTCTCACACGTTCACATCCAATCCTCATGTTGGTGCAACCAAGTGTTTGTGTTTGCTGTTTTGGATTCCCCCACTGTCATTCAAAAATGGGAAGTGACTGACTTGTCAACTTCTTCAAGCCCAAAGCTGTAAAGACAGACTGACTGTGACCCACAAACAATACTGTCTAACTTATTGTTCTGCAGAGATGAATAGAAATTTGTACTAAGAATCACTGAAGTTTAAATAAGTTACTTTCACAGGGAAGTCATAAAGTTTTTAGGTAGACTTAAAAATAAAAAAAAAATAGCCATTAATTGTTGTACTAATGACTTAATTTCTCATTAGTTGCCTATGTTTTGCGAAAACACCTTGTTACATTTCTGTGCATGGTTGGTTTTACTAATTTTATGCATATATGTAAAACTAAGTCAGTGTTAAAGGGTAATTATTAATATTATTAACTAATATTACAACTTGAGCCATCATTTGTCAGTTATAAAAACAATGTGCCTACTAAAGTGATTGCTGAGGCTAGCAGGCTAGCTTTAACCCCCTGTTTACAGTCGTTACACTAAGCAAAGCTGCTTATCAGCTGTTGTAGCTTCAGATTTATCTGACAGATATGAGAGATTACCAAAATGGTAAATTTTTTCTTTAACATTGTCACAGCAATCACATTTTCACTCATAAACTTCAACAATGAGACCCAAGTTGTAATAAAACATTATTATCTTACAAAAAATCTACTTAAATATGCCCAGCTAGAGTACTATGCTCCTGTAGTGCAGAGCTATTGATCTTGCGGGTGTCCACTAAGTGATACAGTACCACTCCATCAAGGGCACTGTGGAAAAGTCATTCATCAATCCAACCAATCAATGCCTTTGATCAGCTGTGAGTATTTTATGTCTTGTGTTGGCGGGTTAAGTGGAGGAGAGCTGTATTGATCCAGCTCAGAGCTACAGTTGATGAAACTTCATTCTCTTCCATAACCTCCTCCTCTCTACATTTGTCTCTCCCACAAACGTCCAACCACCTACTCACATGTCGAGTCTCAGTTACAATACCTGAACATCTTTCTCTCTTTCTTCCTTCCTCTGCCTACATAGATGGATAACGTGGTGGAGGAGTCGGGGCCAAGGACTGTGTGTAAACCAACATCATCTGTCATTGTCACCTCCATATCCAGCCCGTCTATACTGCATAGTCCCCCAGGTTTTCATGGCAACCAGAAATTCACCAAAGCTTACATCCCTGTTGCTAAGGAGCCCCTTGATGTAGCCAGGCTGGAGACAACAGCATTACAATGAACTGCTGGACAAAAGTGCAATGAGAGAGTGTAATCGTGTGTTTGTGTGTGGGAGTGTGTTTCAGTATTTCCCTTCATTGATATCAGCAAGACCAAGCTAACCGTCACAGTAGGGAACCTCCTTGGAGATGCATTATGGGGAATATACAATCACCTAATAATAAGTATCTTAAGGAAACAGGGTTAATACAGAGAAAATTGTTTTGTTTTTTTCTGTGAATCTGATGCTCCGCTCTCCAGTCCAGTAGGTTGCGGTAAAGCACCTGCAAGCTGATGCCAATCGCCAATCAAAACAAGAGAACAAGATTTCCCCTCATGGGACTTGCTAATTGCATCCACACAATGTGAAAGGTCAAAGTAAACAAGTAACGGGTGAAGAAAGTCAAATATTCAAACAGAGAGAGACAGATGCTTTTCTCAGGAGCTGGTGGATGAAGCCATGAGCTGAAGTGGAAACTGGGTGTACATTCAACAGGTGATAAGTAGGCAGGAGTTTGCCTATGCTTTTGTTTATGGAGGACCAGGGATGTCATAATTTAATTTAATGTTTTAATTGGCATTAAAAATAGGAATCATAAAAATAATTTGTAAATGAAAAACTATTTGAAAAGGCATTTTAAAAATGGGAATACATACATTTCCTTTTTCGAGCAGCTTTTTCTTTTCCTATTAGCTAATCGATTCATTTAGTCATTTAGCTTCTCCTTTTAGCCTCTCCATGTAGCCTTTCTGTGACACTTTGGGCCTTCAGTGCTGGTAAAACCAGGATAAACAATACCAATTGGCCATGGGACATAACAAGCTCTCTGATTTGTTGGAGAGCTAACCAGTCATATCATATCCGGTTTTGAAATATGAAATTAAGGAAATACTTTATTACTTTAGCTTTAACATCCCTGGTCCTCCATATTTGTTTGTCATATATGAAATATGTTCAGGCAGTCCAACTGTGTAGATTTTTTCTTTTGTATATTTTTGTATTTATTATTGGAAAATATTAGACTGCTTGGAAATCTGCTGAAAGTTCAGATTGATTGGCATGTCTTTCACGGGTGGTGTATTCAAATAAAAAATATGGCATAAATACTTCATGCATCTTTAATATGAGGTGTTTTACTTCAAAACTGGGTAATCAGACAAACAGATCTGTAAATGCAACAGGACAGGAAAGCATGCCGCCAATTCTGTTTCCCCTCTGGCTCTTTGTCAATGATTTTTCCAGTCCCGGTGACATGAGGTACCACAGATCGGACAGATCAGGTCACAAAAGTGTCACAACACCACAGTACATCGCCCAGTACTGTGTATGAGTATGTGAGCGTGAGAGTGTGTGTAGAAGAACTGGACTCAGTACTGTAAATCAGCATTCCTCTTGATGCCATACCTTGCTATGATATCTACTATTACAGTAGCTATACAGGAGACAGTGTGCTAAATGACACTGTTTTTTTTTTTAAAGTGTGGTTTCAGGATCGTTATCATAGACGTCGTCATAGACAGATGTACAGAAACTGTGTTTCACCATCTTTTCCATTTTTTCCTCCACCTCTGTGCGTTACAGTTCCCTTTTGAGATTGCTAAAATTGCTGCATCATTGACTATGATTGTAATAACTGTTCTCTTCACATGTAGAAATAAATCTGACACATGCTGTCATTTTTTATGTTTGTTAAATCATAAACAGTTAAGTTAAAGATTAAAATCTTATTTAATGAGGCAACAAAGGTTGATACTCTTGCTCATTTGTCCACCAATTTCCATCAATGAATGTACAAAATTACATGTTTAAAATGTCATGGATAAAATTTTTGGCATTATAACAAAACAAAACATTTTATTTTATATATATATAAATGTATAAATTATATATAAATATACTATCCCATTCACATGAATGGGGATATATAAAATTAAGATTTTGCTCTAATGAAGTGATGGTTTTATGAAGTTATGGTTTCATGTTGATTTTGTTTTCTTTGTACAAAATGTTGTGTGTTGTTTTTATTTATTTTTCTAAATAAAAATGCTGCTGAATCCTGCATGATTGCCGGGCATTTCTCCATCTCTTTGGTGTAGCTTGAGCTAGCCAATTATTAAGTGAGGAGACTGCAACTAGTGATGATTTTCATTATAGATTCATTTGATGATTATTTTCTATATAATGTCAACACAAAAGATTTACTCCTGCTCTCTGGTTTATTTATTAAATGGTGATAAAATGAACATTAGTATATTTTTAAAAAATGTTTTTCTTCTCTTACGCACCTGTTGGTTTGCAGGTGTGCACTATCAAAAATGTCCATTACAATTTATAAAGTCCAGTCTTCAGATTGTTTATTTGTCCATCCAACAGTCCAAGAACCCAATGGATTAATTCTATTAACACAGAAGAGTAGGAAAACCACCAAAAACGTATGTTTAAAAAGCTAGAATTTGCTTAAAAATAACTTAATCAGTTCACTAAATTTTAGGCAAATTAATTCCTGTCAATGATTCACCTGTACCTTAAACTGGCATCTAATGCATTACACCATCCACAAAAAAGTTAAGAGGTTTGAACATTTAGTAGATGAAAAACTAAACGTAATCGCCCTCTGCTCATACACATTCATGTGCAGCACCATAAGGACTGTAGTTACTGCAGCTCCTAATGCATCGTCTGTCCATCCGTGTCAGCTGAAAGATATTTTCATAAATCATTGGGTCAGTTTCCTGAATGGAAGAGATCCATCTGGCACAGCGGATAACAGCTTGAACATGTTAATGTCAGATAACAGAGCAGCATCAGTGTAGCTCATATGTGTCATTTGTCCAACATGTCAGAGAGCAAATATAATGGACAATTATCCTGTAAGCTGTTTGGCCTCCCTGCACAACTATGGCGCCCTGCAGAGGAAAGAGTTGGTACTCAATTTACATAATCAGAGGGTGTAAGTGGGTGAGAGGGATGGATTTAGAGATGGACAGTCCCATTCTTTAATGTCTGCATTTTCAAATTCAAATTCAGATAAGCTTTATTGGCATGACAGATCAGAAACCTATATTGCCAACGCAGTACAGAAAATTATAAACATTGACAGATGATTGATTAATAATTATACAATAATATGCAAATATAAACAATAATATTAAATACAATATAATACAAGGCATTTTTTACAGATGTAATCACTATCACTCTCAAATTCAAGTTTGCTTTAGTGACATGATTGTAAGTCAGTATTATCAAAGCTGGTTGTAAAATGCAATGTAGTCCAAAAAAGCAGTGGTGGAGGAAGTTTTCAAGTACAAACAGCAGTACTCCTATATAAAAAGTCCTGCATTGAAAATGTCACTTAAGCAAAAGTAAGCAATAGCAAAATTTACTTAAAGTATCAAAAGGAAGAGTACTCGCCCCTTATGTTTATGTTACATTATTAGATCACAAAAGGGCGTAGTTTTGGTCTCAACATTGGTAGTGATGCAACAACTCCGCTACCCCTCCAAAACAAAGAGATTGGCTTTCTAATGCCATCAATCAAATGCTTTATGAAAACATCAGATCTTAATTTACATTCAGAAATGCCCATTGGCAAAGGTAATATATGTACGTGTTATATATATCATAATATAATATAATAATATAATATCATATATTGACACAGGCCTATATATCTACCTACATGTATTTTAGGATGTTTATATTATAGGTTTATACTACAGATATATGTTACATAAATATATATCCATCCCAAAGCCTGTGACTATATGTTCATTTTATACAGTACGTAAATAGAAAAGATAAACATGTGTGGTTACATTTAATAAGAAATTATTATTAAAATCATATACAATCATATAGAATTTTAATAAGCATGTTGTTTTAATAAAGTCGAATTTTTATATGTATATGACATATATATGGCATATTTGTCCCTATATCAATAGTGTTGTTACCATATATGTCATAGTATAGAAAGTATAAAAATGTCATAGTAATGTCATAACATTGGAGCATGGTCAGGCGTGAAAAAGGTCATAGTATAGTAAGGAATAAAAAATCACAAAAATATCATAGTATAGTAAGGCATAAAAAGTCATAAAAACAGCATAGTATAATACAGAATAAAAATGTCATAGTATAGTAAGGCATAAAAAGTCATAGTATAGCAAGACATAAAAAGTCATAAAAAGTCATAAAAACGGCATAGTATAGAAAGGCATAAAAAGTCATAAAAATGGCATAGTATAGTAAGGCATAAAAAGTCATAGTATAGCAAGACATAAAAAGTCATAAAAAGTCATAGTATAGCAAGACATAAAAAGTCATAAAAACGTCATAGTATAGTAAGGCATAAAAAGTCATAAAAACGGGCATAAAAAGTCGTAGTATAGCAAGACATAAAAAGTCATAAAAACGGCATAGTATAGTAAGGCATAAAAAGTCATAAAAACGGCATAGTATAGTAAGGCATAAAAAGTCATAAAAATGCATAGTATACAAGACTAAATAAGTCTAAACGGCATCGTATAGTAAAGTGCATAAAAGTCATAAACAACAATAAAAGTAAAGTTCAATAAAGGTATATAGTAAGAAAGCATAAAAAGTCATAAAAAGGAATAAGTTATACGGTAAGGTGCATAAAAAGTCAATAAAAAGCGCATAGTAAATAGGCATTAACAAGTAGTAGTAATAAGAAGACATAAAAAAGTCATTAAAAACGCAATAGGTATAGTAAGGCATAAAAAGTCATAAAAACGTGCAAATAAAGATCAAAGTCAGTAAGGACATAAAAAGTCATAAAAATGCATATTGTATAGTAAGGCATAAAAAGTCATAATATATGCAACGAATCATAAAGTCATAGTAATAGAGGCATAAAGAAGTTATAAACACATAGTATAAGCTAAGACATAAAAGTAACGCATAATTAAATAGGCATAGATAGATCTGTTAGCAAGCGCATCAAAAAGCGTACATAAAGAGACGGCATAGTATATTAGAGGGCATAAAAAGTCAAT